AGCACGCTGGAGGAAGTGGTTGGCGGAAAGGGACGCTTGAGCTAGAGGAGACAGCGATATGAGCCTTGTCATTGTGTATCAGGCATATGATAGTTGATCTAGCTAGCAGTGCTGAAGGTGTGAGGATTAATTGTTGTCATGACTCAGCCGGCGAGGTCTCTTTTGGCGAAGATGATGTCTGGTTAGCGGGTTTGTTAGTCGTTATATACATGGTTGCAGGAGCGTTCATTTTACTCCGATGTTGTATTGTAGGTCCATACATGTGGCACATAGTACACGGCACATACAGAGACGCAGATACAGGGAACGACACATGCAGAGACAAGCACATCGAGTACTTTCAATGGACGTCGGAGCCAAGACCGTCTCCTTATCCATGTGTATGCAGTATGCATCGTCTTGCAACTGGAGTCACTGGACTGGGCTGGACTTGGATCTCCATCCTGGCGCAGTCTCTCTATCTGTCTATAGACAGTATCTCCGTGTTGAACGAATACTTCTTCACTTTCCTCCTCTCTCATCGTATCTCTCGATTCTACCGTCCGTTCGACTAGACTAGACGAGAGTACTCGGTACATACGTACAAACAAACACAACACTTCCCCTTCGCCTCGCCAGAACTCGACTCGACTCGACCGGTTCACCAGCCCAGGATTTGGAAGCGACAGTCTCGTCTCGTCCCCTCTTCTCGTTGTCGTCCAACTCTCGAGCTATTTCCTTCTCCTCCACGCAACAAAAAAAAGATGGGTTGACTTAATGCGCCTCCCAACCTATTCGAGACGTGGTCAAGCACATAATATTACAAACAAGCACACACGCACATACATACATACATACACACACACTCACACAAGCAGGGAAGCATATTCTGCTCTACTACTCTGCTCCTGCTCCTGCTCTCTCCGTATTCCAAACTCTCGTCGCATCGGGCAAGGCCGTCAAAAGTACTGTACTGTACTGTACTGTACTGTACTGAATGTGAAACAGCAATGCAATGGCCATGCCATGCAATACAACGCAACGCAAGCGGATCGTAAAACTTTTGTCTTTTCTCCTCTCTCCTCTCTCTCTTCCTCTGTCCTTGTTCCTGTCCCTGCTTGATTGTTTCTGCAAAAAAGAGAGAGGCGAGGGAAGGGGAAGGGGGGGGGGTGTTTATTTTGTCTTTCCTTTCGGTGATGCCCTGATGCCCTGGTGCCGTAAAAATCCCCGACATCGCATCGCACCGCGCCTCGTCGCACCTGGTGGTCCGAAAGGGAGACCACACATGAGAAACCCAGAATGTAGCACACGCACGCACGCACGCACGCACGCCCAGCCAAGCAGGCAAAAAAAAATCCAGAAACGCCAAACTCCATGTCGCTATGCGGTTGGCATTACCAAAGCAAGCATTTCGATCATTGTCACATCCATCTCTCCTCCTCGCAAGGAGCACTTCAGTGGTAGAGTTGTGTGTCACTCTCTCCCCCTCCCTCACTTTCAAACCGCTGGCCATCTGACCCTCAGACCCTCGCACCATCTCTCGAACAGCGCGTCGGCCAGTTGTCTCGTGTGTTCCAGCCCACCAACCAACCCGTTCATCATCTCCTTTTCCGTTTGACTGTCTGCCTCCAACAGACTGGCTTTTCTCTTCTCCTCGACGCTCGTGTTCCGTAATGGACTGGCAAAGACTTGACTTGTGTCGCGAGACTTGACAATGGCTGCTTGTGCACTCTGCCTCCGTCGATGACTCTTGAGGTGCGGGTTGTTTTGCGCAAGGACCAGTTTGGCACCTACAGCACCTTTAGTCGGGGTACTTGGAGTCACCTGTCTGCTCTCGTTGGCGCCAATTGGTTGCGGTGATGCCATGGACGCGTGTAAGGGGTCGATGAGCTTCTGAGGTGACTGCAGCATCTCCTTCGACGGTGGCATCGTCATGGTTTGTTGTGGCAGCATACTCTTCAAAGTGTCGTCCCGTTTCATCTTGGAAATGATCGACTGCATAATGTGATACATGCCATCTGGATCCACGCTTTCCAAGTCGGAAAAGGCCTCAGCCAACCGTGCAACGGCCTCGCGTTTGACCTCGTCGGCCGTGTCGTTGAGGACGTCTTGACACGATAAGCCAATTGCGTTGGAGTAGAGTTTGCGGCCAAGGCTCGCCTCCTTGGTCTCCATCGCGATGGTTGTCGCGGTTGAGGAGAATCGGGAAGCTTTGTCTGGCTTTGAGAGCAACGAGGTCTCGATGTCGACCAGAGAGGCCAGGCCAGGTTTCGCCTTTGACGGTGTCCGAATGACGCTAGAGTTCGGGTCTTCATTTTCCGTGTTTGGGCTGGTGTTGGCGTTGGGCGATACTCGTCTGAATTGTCGGACTGTGCTCGGGCTGTTGCCAAATGACATGTTGACCCCCAATGGCTGCCGTACCTGGGCACTGGATAGTCTCTTTCTGCTCGTCCTCTTGCCTAACAGCGAATCTGTCGAGTCTCTTCGGTCTCGATAGCTCTGTTGCTGTTTGGACTCTGAGATTTTGCGCATCGTCAACTTAGTCGGACTTTGTTCGGGTTCCAGGCGTCGGTCAAGGGTCAGATCCTCCATCATCTGTGTGGTGCTTTGCTCCAGCCCGTCCGATGGAATTCTCTCAGCCTTCCTCATCCGCTGGGTTTGGAATTCCTTCAAATTCATGGTGGGCATGGCTTTGACAGTCTCAAACACCCAGTCGTCGTCATTCCGGGCTTGCGACAGGTTTTTGAGGGTTTCAGCATAATACTTCAAGTTTCTGTCCCCTCCTTTGCTGGCTTCCCAGTCTTGCTTTCGGACAATCAACTCCTGTAGCCCCTCAATTTTCCCCGCCGATCGTATGAAGCGATGGTTGAGCAACTCCCTTGCACTCTTCCTCTTGTCGACGTCTTTGGTTAGGCAGCAAGCAACAAAGTCTTTGAAATCTTTGGACCAGCCGGGCCCTTCCAGTCGTGGCGCGGCTTGTTTCGGGATCAGAAAGAGGACTTTCATGGGGTGAACGTTGGCGTGCGGAGGTTCGCCGTTTGCTAGTTCCATGGCCGTGATCCCCAGACTCCAAACGTCGGCTTTGGCGTCATGACCTTCCTGCTGAATGACCTCGGGTGCCATCCAAAAGGGAGTTCCGACAAAAGTATTCCTGATGCTCTTCAGTCCCACCAGCTGCGCAGCGACGCCGAAGTCGGCCAGCTTCACCCGGCCATCCATGCCCAGCAGGATGTTTGCCGCCTTTATATCTCGGTGTAGTTTTCCTTCTCCGTGAAGGTATGCGAGGCCTAGGAGCAGCTCTCGACAAATGATGGCGATGTGGCTCTCGGATATACGATGGGGAGGAGGCTTGAGGAGATCAGCGCACGATCCGCCTCCCAGATATTCCATGACAATCCACAGAGTCTGCCGACGCAGAAACGCCAGACGATACTTTGTGACGTGCGGACTTGAGCATGACGACAGGACGGAGAGTTCGGACAGGATATCGGAGAGGTCTTCTTCGGAAGATTCAAGGTCGACCTACAGTCAACGTTAGCTGGAGAAAAGGATGCCGACAACTGCCCCTGCAGGAGGTCTTCCATACATGTTTGATAGCGACGACTTCACCCGTGGCCTTCTCTATGGCCTTGTAGACGACACCGAACGAGCCACTACCCAGTTCTTCCAGCATCTGATATTTGTCCGCCAGTGTATCGCCGTGCGCAGAATCGTCTTGAATTTCAAAGTAGCTCTGCTGTGTTGCCGTGGCCTGGTGAGGCGCCTCGGAGAAGGGGGATATCATGGCCATGGCGGCGTGCTGTTGTTCTCTTGACGCAGTTTTTCCCTCCTCGACACTGTGGTTATATTGTAATCGCCTGGTTCAACACCTCGAATGGGACCTCCAATCACCAAGTGCTGTTCATTGGTTGTAACCCGGGACTCATGTACAATTGGTGAGTGCGCGCACAAAACGTGATGATGCAGTCTAGTCAAGAAATGCAAGAAATGCAGGAAATGCTTGCGCCGCAATATAGACACAGGTGAGCAATGGTGGTACAGAGAATAATGAATGTGAGAATACTGAGTAAAGGGCGAGGGATGGTGGTTTGCAGGGTCCGAGGCGCCGAGGATATATCTGGTGCGACGTGGATCTTTGAAAAAAAGGGGCCTCGTGCATAGTAGCGCTCTGGATCCAAGCCTCACGACTAGTGTATCCGCGAACAGTCAGCCATGGAAAGAAAAAGATAGAGGATACACTGCAGTCGTAGTAATAGTAGTGCGTCCAGATGAACGTTTGTCCGCAGAGGTGGAGGAGGGCAGAGCCGGATGTTGACGTTGTGCTGCCATAGCAACGAGACGCCGGATGGGGAAAGGCGCCTCGGCTCAAGATCCACTAATGCAGCGAAGGTTCGACGCTAATGCAGGGGTCCGTTACTGCTTCTGGTTCCATAATTTCTACCCTCTCAGCCTCTCTGCCTTGCATTAATCAGGCCCGCTGTACCATGGTTCTCCGTGATACTTCAAGTCGACCTGAACCAGATTGACAGCTCTCCCAGTCGCTTGTACAGGGTATTCGTGCCGAGCTGGTCCCGAAACAATCAAATTCCCGACTTCAAGGAACTGAAATGGGTCCAACGCCCTCCCACTCCAGCAGGGCCGAGAAAGAGATGGATAGGCCTTGACAGGGTGTCAGGTGGCCTTCCAGAATTATTTACATCACTTTCTGTTGCTAGGGCGATGTGCTACACATATTGATTCTGTCGGTTTGAGCAGAAACACTCATGTGTGTGTGAAGTAGGGGTAATTATTAATTTACCTTGTGCCACGATCACGATCACGCGGCAGATCGGATTGTTGTTTTTTTGATCGGAAAATTCAAAAATGATGCATCAACCGTCCTCTGGGGAAACAGCATTATGTCATGTTGTTCAGTCAATCACGTGGCATAATAGTGTCAAAATAGACAATATACAAGGTCCCATAGTCGGGAAATAAATCCAACGCTGCGCTCCTCGCATGTCGATCTCGTGGTCTCCATTTCACATATGTGGGCTGTCAAGTATGTGCATCTGCCCATGCTCTAATCCGGTGGTTTTGGTTGGGTCGTCCTGAGTTGAATCCCACTCCTTCATCAGATCACTGACTGTCCGGGTGAGCTTGCTTGGAGTGATTCTCTCTAGCTCTGGCCAAGGAAGGCCACCTTCTCCGCCAGCTGGCCTTTGTCTGGTGTCCTCCATCCCCGCAATTAGGGGTCCTCGAGTGCTCACGGGGGAGTCCCACGCATCCCAAGCATCTTCGACGTCATCATTGTCGTTCAAATCTGGTAGCAGACTAGGCGTGTTCGATGAGTCGGTGCTACTCTTCTGCTGAACATGTCCATTAGGTTTCTCCACCACCTTTGGTTGAGTCGAGTTCTTGTGTGGAGTGTCCAGCCCGAATTCGTTCCAGAACGACGGTTCCATGTGATGCGAATCAGGCGTTTCAGTGCGGCCCTTGGGATTTGATTTGCCCTGTTTGTCCGATGGCTTTCTCGAGGCCTTTCTCTGAGGAGGCCTTGCAGAGCGCTGCTGAGCGACGGTTCCATTGATTCCCTCTTCTCCCACCGTGGCTTGCCGGATGTCCTCGAAGAACGTCCATAAACCATCCCGAACCCCGTCGTAAACTTGTTTCCCCTGTTTCACCAACATATCTGCTGCCACTGGAGGTAGCGATCTCCGATGTGCTGCGAGATCTTTGTACGTCTTTCCAAACCCAAGAGGAAGTGCATCACCGGATATTAGGCTGTCGAGGGTCGCCATCCGCGACAGCGAGGGCCTAGTAAACTCTCCGCCATCGACGATTGGTGTCTGATCCAGCGCATTTTGTGTCTCCTCCGTCTGTTTGCTTGGAACCTTTGTAGAGGTCGGACTGAGCAAGCTCAAAGTTCTAGTATGTCGACCTCCTTCGAAAACCCGCTTGGATCCCTTTCTCGTCAAACCATTCGATCCTGCATTGCTCGCCGTAGCTGGCTGAGCCGTGTAGCTTCTCTCCACCAGTGCTCGCTTTCGCCTTCGTTCTTCGTCTAAGTGGTCGTCTGCAACCACTCCTTCGCCGCCGCCGACTTCGCCCAAGGCCACAGGCTGTTTTTTCTTCACTTGTCTGACTTCGTCCCTCTTCTTATTCGCTTCGTAGGCCGCCCATTGCTTCTTCAGTACCAGCAAGTCCGCCTCTGCCCGCTGGAGTTCCTCCTTCAACTCGAGGACTTTTCTTTCTTGTGCCGCCAGCAGTGTCAGGAACTCTGCGCTGCCTCTTGTCTTAGCCTTTTCCTGCGGTTCAGCTGCGGGATCGGGACTTCTGAAAGGGACGCTTCGAGTAAGTGGCGAGGACTTGGCTGATTCGATCGGGCTCTGCACTCCAGACCCCAGGGTTGGAGACTGCGAGTATCCGATATTCGTGGGCACCAGGACGGGGAAATTCAGGGACAGTCCCTTGATGTGCCTTCTTGACGCAGCGGCATTCGTCGTTGCTGGTCGGGTCGGATTCGGGAGCCCGTCTGGGTTGGATTCTGCCGATTCGGAGGAATCATTCGGAGGTATCTGTGGAGAAGAAACCGCACTGGACTCGACCTCCATCGCCGTGGGTCAGATTGATCATGTAGAGCACGACGAGCTGGGTGGTTCGTTCAGTTCGGGGAAGAGCAACAGGTAATCCGGTGAAACCAGGAGGAAAAGACGGATCTGTACCGCTGTCCTCGTAGGTTCAAAACGTCTGAATTTTCAAAAGGAAATCAGTGCTGTTCAAAGCAGTCATTCCACGTCATCATCGTCATTGACTGTGCGCAGAAGAGAGAAATGTTTAGGAGGACGAAAGACGGAAGATTGTTGACTGGCCGAAAACGGTGAGTCGGTAATTAATTGGCCTTGGGGCGAGATTCCCCACAACGTGTGTGTGTAACGGGGGGGGCCCATGCAAGGGGGTGAACATCCATCTGCTACCACTGTAGGTACTGGACCCGTACGACGTAATATACTCGGTACTGCTAGACAAGTGCATTAGGACTGAGCTAATGCCGACCAACCAGTTTTATGTACTTGGTATCGCCTCTGTCTTGGGACACATGATTGAACGCAAAACGATCCCCGCTACACTCGTAGGCTTTCCCATGATCAGGAGAGACGAGATCCAACACGAAAAAACTCCAGAAATGCCCTCCTCTTCCTATACAGGCTCTATAAAACAATCCAGATAGTACCTCCCACAACGATGCCGATACACAAGACGGTCAAAATACCGGCGCCAGCTTGATCTCCTTTGGTAATGGGTGAGTGTTGGATTGGGTCTGCGTCGATGTCTGTCCCAGCATCGGGATCACTCTCGGATGTGCCTCCGGTATTGGCCGTCTTGGGCGCGATTTCTGGACGTATAGTTGATGCTCCGATGACGGCAAGTGCTTGCATCTGATTCCAAGTCAGTAAGTTGGAAGGGGGCTAACCCGGACGTGCGAAAAGAGCATACCTGTTGTCCCACGCCCGTGGAGCCATCAAAATTTGAATACCACCGTCGCCCACACATGCGCCCATTATCCCCTCCGGTACATTGCTGTGCCGCGGCGTTGGCGCTTGCCCGCAGCTTGGGCATAATTATGTCGTAAGTATTGGGCACGATTAAGGCTGTAACCGCCATCCAACGAGACAAGTAGGCTTTGAAACTGCTTTGGTCGTTGTTGCACACCATGGTTGGTTCACATTGGAACTCGGTCATAATGTCGCCGCCATATTCCGCAGGGAAAAAGAGGTTGAAGGCGCCCTGCAGGATCTGGTTGACCCGGGTTCCCCACGGTTCAGCCCCATTGGTGAAGTTGTACATGGCAGCAGCTCCCATGAGCATCGTGCCGTAGTTGTAGGTCCACGCATAGTGTGCCACGTCCGTGCAGTTGTTGTTCACATCCGTGTTGTCCCAAATGTAGAGGACGTCATCTTGATATTGAAATAATGGGCTACCTGCCATCCAATCCCACATCTGGATTGCCCAGTCCGCATAGGTCTGGTTCCCGGTGTATAGAGCCAGACGCGCCGCCAGTTGAAAGTTTCCGCCGTTGGAGATGGTATTCTTCAGATTGTAGCCCGAATTGAAAGAATATACCTGCCACCTCATCCCCCCGTTGCACGTATTAGCGTCCCAGAGAGTCGATTGAAAATTGAACACTGCTTGAGCCAGAGCCAGCCAAGAAGGAGCATCGCCTCCAACATCCGGCAGATTGGCTTCAGCAGCGTCCATGGCCGTGAATGCCCAGAATGCTTGGTCGTCCACACCCATGTTCTTGCTCTGGTTGGGAGGATTGAAGTTCTCTTCGGGTCCAACCTGAAACTGTAAAGCTTGCGTCACGACGGAGTTGTAGCTGTCATCCCCAGTATACTGCCAGTAATTGATAAGAGATCCAAACATCGCGCCAGCCTCCCACCAGTAATAACAAGCAGTCGAGTCACACGGCCCCGGCAGTAAACCTGGCACTTGACCAGACTGATTGCCCGAATAATAGGTCATCATATCGTATGCTAACGTAGAGGTAACAGACTTGATCGAATCTAAGCTGTTGAGGTCCAGAGTGAGCGCATTGGTCAAGGAAAGTAGGCCGGCCAGCGGCACCAGAGCGGGACATATGCGCGACTTCATGTTTGGTTGTACGTCGAGCGTCCTCACACAAGATGGAGTTATTGAATAGAAATCGCAGAAGAATGACCCTCAACTCAGATCCAACTCTGAAAACGAGACTTCAGGAGCAGAAGCGGAGTGACGGAAAAGGAGGTCTGAATGAAGAGAGTGACCAGGGGGAACTTTAACGAAGGTAGCGCCCAGTCCGGCCGGGGCGGCGGGAGTTGGGAAATGTCAGTTGCCACGTGGTTGGTATACGAGATACTCAAGGGAGGAATGGCGTCGAGGGCGAGAGCCGTTTGTTCACGGCCGTGTTGGTGTAAAGGCGAGAACAATGAGAAAATCTGCAATGGACACAAATGAAAGGGAACAGGTGAGATTATGGGGAGGACAAGAAGTTGGCGCGAGCCAAGGACTGTAGAAACAACAAAGCGTCACACAGCCACTAGCGACCTTTTCCACCCAAAAGGGAGGCACGGAAGGTACCCCGCCCATCTGCTGTTGTTCCAAAAGGCGGTGCCGACCTCATAGGGGGGGCCATGTGTGAGACGTCGTCGCCTTGGCATTGAGCCCGGCAGCCAATCGGGAGTGATATCAAGTCTCCTCCGCCCAGAAAAGACTTGGAGCGGCGGGACAATACACGTCCTTTGTCTTGGCTTGGCTTGGCACAATCTTGCACCGCCCAAGCACCCAACAGTGCGATCCTGACGATCTCTTTCTGGCGGAAGCTTCACCCCTAAGATTCTCCCTGAGGCTTGGTGTTGAGGTCCGCAGTCTAGCTAAATATTGGTTGCGACTTCACCCGGAAGAAGCCAAGGTGGCCATAAACAAGCACATAACGGTCGCTTCGCGCAACCATCCCCTAAACTGTGGTCCAGGCCTTATGGGACACTTTGCGCAGTAGACATGTTGCTCTTTATCAATGCAATAATGCGGGCCCCCAACTGGCAGGCTCATATAATTCAGTACTCCTCGCTTCGCCTTCGCTCAAATGCATCGATGTTGTCGGAATCGTCGTGTCAATATGAATACAGTGCTTTTGGTTGACAACTTCTTCGGTTCTTCTGCAATCACTCCCGGAGCTTCTCCTCCTTGATGGCCTCAACGCCTGATGCTAATTTGAACATTCCAACACCAAGACCACGGCGCGCACTGTGAGGTTCACTATGTCGATCGCTGTGGAGTTGATGCTCCGTTAAGCTTCCTGTTCTATTGTGTGATCTGTTCGTGTTCGTACGAGAACGGGGACTGAACTCTGGATTCTCGTTGAGATCCCGCAACCCGGAAGACAAACCCGTCTCAGCCCGGAAATGGCGTCCTTCCATGTTGCCGTCGACGGCCGACATCATTGATTGTCCTCCTATGGACGATCTTCGACGTTGTACACGAGACATGACTCTTTCAGCTTCCTTGGCTTCTTTCGCTTGCAGGCTTTCAGAGGGCAAAAGGATGGCCCGGTCAAGCTCGTAGGGGAGTCCACGATGTCTTCCACGGATCTGCATGGCGATGATCACCAACTTTGAGAGAACGTGGAACTCAGCTGAAAAGGAAGCGTTGATGTTCGGATAGCCCAAAGAAAGGCCCACAGTGCCGTATGCAGAGACAATTTCGAAGAGGACGGAGAAAAGCGTAAACGCGGATTCGTTGATATTCTGCAGTCTTCCGCCTTCGACAACTGCAATGATGAACATTCCTAGGAAGATGTACCACAAGTCAAACGATAGTTGTCTTCGTAAATGCGCGCCGACATAGCTCGGCTCACCCTCGTCTTCGTTTTCCTCGGATGAAGTTCCGTAGATTCCCAGACTCTTCTCCTCGTACACGTTGGTACGTCGCATAGAAATAGCAATCGGAAAGACAGAAATGTACATCATGATCAAGTAGCTGACCTGAATGGCAGGGTGGAGTTCGGCCAGATTGACAACGGAAAATCCGGCAGTTCGAGTCGACGCGGCTTGGAAGAGACCGTCCAGAAATCGAATTCCCCCCGGTAAGGACGTGACTGTGGTATCATTGAGATCGAGAATGATGAAGAAGATTAGGTCCAGTCCGTTGAGAATGATGAGAATGGCAAAAAGCCACCAAGTCGCTTCGCGGGGGAACAGCAGGGTGAAACATCGGCGAGGATGGTCGAGAAGAAATTGGAGCTCTTCCCACAGGGGGCTGCCTTCTCGAACGCACTTGGACGTGGCCCAAATAACAAGCCTCAACATGCAGGGGAACCCAGTGTTGCCAATGACGATCAGAAAAGTCATCAGCAATAACGGAAAAACGGCTCGCTGGAATGAGAGCATAGAATTGTTGGTCAAGGTGAAACCGAGATCGTTGAAAGCAGAAGCACTTGTGAATAGACCCCACCAGACTCTTCCCTGCGACTGCTCTGTCACATATTTTCCGAAGCTCGTGTGGAGGATCCAGGGTACTAAGCAGATTATGCCGAGAATGTGAAAGCAGAAGAAGTAAAGGACAAGGATGAGAGCTAGGGCCTTGAGTGCCCGATATTCTATCCCGCCCAGCTCTTCTCGCTGTTCTTCGGTCAGACCGAGAAAAAACGAGTTCCGTCCGACGGTCGGTTGCCAACTCAAGTATGGGGCGAGCTCCTGTGTACGCGGCGTATTGACCCGATGCAGCGACCGAAACGTATTAGACCCCCTCCGACGGTAAGACCCGGGCTCAGGGAGATCGTAGGTGTGTGACGGCTGCGTAGACTGTCTAGTGTTGAGTCGGGGAAATGTGGCAGTTCGGTCCTGGCGGTCTCGCAGAAACTGTGGTTCGTCGATGGTGATGTGTGTAGGAGGCGCACGGTCGTCCGCAGCTCCCCCGTCAGCTCTCGTCTCATCACCACTGGGAGGTTCGGGTACGCTCATGATGGGGCGCAATAGATTGTCATCAAAGTTGGCATGAACATCATGGGGTCGATCCCCCAGCTCATATTCACGAGGACTGGGGATTCGCAGGGCCGTCGTGTCACTTGGATTTC